GGCTGATTGAGCCACCTTGAGGTCCGGTGCTGGTGCAGCTCATGGCTGCTGGGCAGAATCGCCTCTGGGAATGCTGACTGCCAGCGCTGCTCCAGGGCTTGGTGGCTCCGTCAGTGCCAGCACTGAAGAGTCTATTCCTTGGCATCCCTCTGAAACGCTGGACTCGTTTTACTGAGGTGGGAGATAGAGGCAGGAAAGCTGTTACCTGCCCACAGTCACGGAGGAGATGCAAAAACCAGACTCTTCTGAGACCCCGTTTCCTAGCGAGCGCAGGGAGAGCAGTTGTGCACTAGCAGCTCCCCCAGCCCATGCTCTGGCCCTGCAGCTGACCCCTTTCTCTGGGACCTGCCCTTGTAGGGTGTGGAGACAGAGGAGATCTGTGCCATACTGTCCCGGGTACCCCAGGCGGAGAAGTTTGCCAAATTCTGGATCTGCAAGGTGAAACTGTTTGCCCAGAGAGGCCCCCTTTACATGTTGGAGTTGTACAAGGCTGCGGTCTGCGCTGGTGCTGAGGTGAGTGAGGCACACTTCTCTCTGCTAGCTCCCGGCGTTCCCTGCTTCTGTGCCAGCAGGCTTCCCCCACACCTAGGGGTCAGATTTTGGAGCGAGGTTAGCAGTGCAAGTTGCTGGCGAAAAAGCTTTTTAGAGCTGCAGGTCCCCCAGAAACACCATTGGCTTCAGCTGGCCGAGCAGGCAGGGGTGGGACTGGAGGGGACGGGGAGGACGAGCACCCTGCGCTGCGTGGGAGCCGCGGCTGGAAGCAGTGAGACGGCAGCTCTGGGCTCTGGAACTGTGGCGTCTGCTGGGATTTACCTGTGCAGGGTGGTTCTTGCCCGGCCGTGCCCGAGTGGTGACGGGTCGTGCTTAGAGACAGGACAAGGGGTAACAGGTTTAAACTGAAAGTGGGGAGGTTTAGATTAGATATCAGGAAGAAGTTCTTCCCGCAGAGGGTGGGAGCACTGGAACAGATTGTCCAGAGAAGCTGTGGATGCCCCATCCCTGGAAAGGTCCAAAGCCAGGCTGGATGAGGCTTGGAGCAACCTGGTCTAGTGGAAGGTGTCCCTGCCCATGGCAGGGGGGTTGGAACTAGATGAGCTTTAAGGTCCCTTCCAGGCCAAACCATTCTGGGATTCTGTGAAACCCAGCAGCCCTTTGCCGTGTCTCTCCTGGGGCGTCACGACGCAGCAGAGACCTGTTCTCCTGTTCAGCAGTAACCCTCTGTGCCCGAGTCAGGCCTGCCTTGACCCCCATTCTGCTTTTCCTGCAGCCGCTCGAGGAGCTCAGAGAAGTTGTCCTTGACCTTTTGAAGCCTGCAAACCAAAAGTCAGAAGGTAATGCGCGTGGGGGGTGCCCACCTGGAGCGTGGGCAGGGAAGCGGCGTGGTTTGCAGCCCGTCCCAGCACCCTGTGTACCCAATGACTGTAGCAGAAAGGAGTGGTGTGAAAGTCGGGAATCCCCCTCTTAGAAAATGGGGGGATTCCCCTGCCAGGGCCAGGCACAGTCCCGGCCCCTCACACCTCCAGAGCACAGCGCTCGTGCCGGGGGTGCTGCGGTGTTGCAATCCCTCTCCAGCTGCAGATCTCTGCAGCTCTGCTCCCCTTTTCTTGCCCTGCCAGGGGAAATGGTGCAGCAGCCTGCTCCTTGCAAGCCCGCGACGCCTTGCCCGAGCGAGAAGCAGCCTGCGGCGGTGACTCCGCACCCAACGGGCTGGTCCCAGAGCCACCTGCCCGTCTCAGTCAAGCTGCAAGTTACCTCTGCTGCCAGGTAAGGCCGAGGCAGCCTGCGCCCTCCGCCTGTGCCACTGCTCCTCCGCGGGGTTCACCTAAAGTCTCTTGCCCTCCCTACAGAGGAAAGGAGATGCTGGAAGCCCCAGAGATGAAATTCCTGACCCCAGTGCGGCGCTCGCTGCGGATAGAGAGGGCTGGGAGCCACTACCCGGAGATGCTGAAGGACCACGACCCCGTGGTGTCATCCCTCAGGGAAGTCGTGCTGGCTGAGGAGGACACTCAGTTCGTCTTCCGGAAAAACAAGGCTTTGCCCGAGGTGGCGGAGCTGGGAGGTTTGGGGTTGTGTCCCCCAGAGCGCTGCTGAGGGATCCCCAGCACGGTA